CATCCGAAGAAGTGGGCTGTAGTCCACGAAAGCTTATGCTCTAATAAATCTGTTAGTCTCTAAGGTGCCACAAGTACTCCTGTTCTTCTTTTTGTGTGACAGAGTGTGTGTGGGGGAGTGTGAGACTCTGTGTGTGTGTGACAATCTGTATTGGGGGACTGTGACTCGTGAGAGGCAGAGTGTATGTGGGTGTGAGAGACAGTGTGTGGGTGTGTGTTAGGGAAATGTGAGAGACAGTGAGCGCACTGTCACTTTAAGTCCCCCTCCCTCTATTCCCCCCCCCGCCCCACTGACTCACGTGGAAGTTCCGCTCCTCCTGTCCAGACCCGGGCTTGGCCCCACCGGAGACCGAGCGGCGCAGGAAGGCGGGGTCCAGGGAGGGACTCCGCTCCGGGCGGCGGTGGGTCGGGCCGCCGCGCTGCCAGTGACCGCTCGCGCCGCTCTGAGCTCCCCAGGGCAGCAGAGCCGGACGCTGGAGCTCTCAGCTGGGTGGCTGAGGAGGGAGGGAGGGAGGGGGCAGGGTTGGGGGCGGGGAGAAACCTGCCGGCCCAGCGCGGGGGCGGGGCCAGAGAAGAGAGGATTCCAGCCACGGTCAGCGAGGGGAATGGTGCCCCAAATTTTCGGGTGCCCTATGCAGCCGCATATGCTGCATATGTCTAAGGACTGCCCTGCTGAAGCTAGACAAAGTCAGACCGGAAAAAAACGGTGTAAATTGTTAACAATGAGAGTAATTAGCCATTGGAACAATTTATCGAGGGTCATGGTGGATTCTCCATCACTGGCAATTTTTAACTCAAAATTGGATGTTGTTCTAAAAGGTCGGTGCAAGGAATTAGTTTGGGAAGTTCTCTGGCTTGTTATACAAGAGGTCAGACTAGATGCTCAGAATGGTCCCTTCTGGCCATGGCATCCATGAATCTAGGTTCTTCTATCCCCAGCTGTGCCACAGATAGTGTGTGACCTTGCCCAAGTCACTTAATCTCTCAGTGCCGTCTGTAAAGCGGGGATGAGAATACTCTCTCTCTCTCTCACTCTGGCAATTGGATCATGTTCTCTTACATTTTGTCTGTCTTTTCTATTTAGGCCTTGTCTACACTGCCACTTTACAGCACTGCCACTTTCTCGCTCAGCAGTGTGAAAAAACACACCCGAGTGCTGCAAGTTTCAGTGCTGTAAAGTAGCAGTGTAGACAGTGCACCAGCGCTGGGAGCCCGGCTCCCAACTCTGGTAGCTACCCCCCTCCTGGGGCTGGTTTTTTTACAGCGCTGGGAGAGCTCTATCCCAGCACTGGTGCCACGACTACACAGCGCTTTAACATTGCTAGTGAAGACATGCCCTTAGACTAGCTCTTTGTCAGGGACAGCCTCTTAGTATGTGTTTGTACAGTGCCTAGCACAGCAGGCTCCTGATCTCAGTGGGGCTTTCGGGGCTACTGCAATATAAACAATACAAGGGAAGTAACCTCAAAAGGTCTGAATAAAGACCTACATTTCCAGAGGTTGGACTTTCACTGCTAACCCTTACCCCAGAAGAGAATTGGTGTTTGGAGATGGTTTTCTAAACATGAGGGGGGGGGATAGCTCAGTGGTTTGAGCATTGGCCTGCTAAACCCAGGGTTGTGAGTTCAATCCTTAAGGGGGCCACTTAGGAATCTCAGGCAAAATTAGTACTTGGTCCTGCTAGTGAAAGCAGGGGGCTGGACTCAATGACCTTTCAAGGTCCCTTCCAGTTCTAGGAGATAGGATATCTCCATTAATTTAATTTGAGTGATTTAAGTTGGTCTTCTAAGCCTGATTTCCCCTTAGATACGATATTATGCTCTGAAACTGCGTACAGGCTGCAAAAGGTGCTCATATGTGCACCGTGGGTTTGCATTACTTCAAAAGTCCATGCCGACCCCTCATATGCACAGGAAACTTGCATACTTCACAGGGAGTGCAAAACACGCTGCATACACTACAACAAAGTCCAATGTTGTACTTGTGGCTTCCTTGGTCGGTGGCTTTGAGACCGTGTTCTTCAGGAGCACTGCAAGAAGTCGCTTCAGTGCAATGGATAAATGCAAACCAAAGACAAAGCTGCTCTTCAAAGTTGCAATCCAGATTTGCGCCTGAGCCCCTGTCTCAAAACCAGATAACGAAAGGTGAACGTTTTATCTAGTGTACAGCTTGAGACATGCTAGCTGAAACCCTGTGCACGCACCCATCACCCACACAGACTCAGATAACTGGGTAGGCATCCATGTGTCAGTGTCAGACACAGCCCAAAGCAATGTAACAAGCAAGGACCGGGTAACAATGCCCCTGTCAAACGCCTACAGCAATGCCCTGTTGATTCTTGCTCAGCAGCAGATTGTGCCTTTGCAATGTGCCGTGAAGGGCAGCATGTAGCTACCCCACCCCAGGAGCAGAGCAGAGCAGAGAACAAACTGTGTCTCAAACACCCACTTCCTCCCTTGTTCTGGGAGGAAGGAGAAAATCACTTCACTCCTTTTCTTGGACCTATTCCCCATCCAGCCAACTATTCTAGCTAGCAAATGGGGAGGGTGCAGCCCGAACTCCTACTCCCTCCCCTCTCCCCATCCACCAGCTTGCAGCACTCTATCAGGTGAGTAGCCCCTGCTCTCCCCACCTTGGCCAGATCATGATTGGGGAGGGGAGGAAGAGTGGTTGACAAAGGATGTTGCCGTCTGGCCCACTGCGAGAACGTAGAACTTTTTTTAGAATTTCTTAGTATTAATGAAGCCACCCACATGCTCCTGTCATTCTGACTGTGCTAATAATGGCCCTGACATTGCCACCCTCTACGGCCTTGGGCAACTCCCTTAGCCAGTCCTCCTCAGTCTCCCCATCGGGGATGGTGATTATCACAGGAGAGACATTTGCATTGGTTGTAGCAAAGGCTGGGGACATCTGGAAATGGGCAGCCTGTGCAGATTTCAGCATCTCTGTTCTGCCCACTATAACCCCTGATTCCTAACGCCAGTTGTGCCCAGGGAATAGCACACAGAGGAGGCACAAAAAAAGGAAACATCTCCACCATTTTGCTCCCCCCACCACCTTCTTCTGGGGTTTATTATGCTGTGTGTTAACGTAGCGCCTTGGAGCCTAGTCATGGCCCAGCCCCCAACCCCGTGCTAGGTGCTGTACAGACACAGAACACACAGATGGTCCCTGCCCCACAGAGCTGCCACTGGACACGTCAGTTGAGCCCCAACCCATGGAGATGGACAGAAAGATGGTGCAGGCCAAGGACGCCATGAGACAATCAGAGGCGGCTCTAGCCTAGGGTTACCATATGTCCGGATTTTCCCGGACACGTCCGGCTTTTTGGGGC